AAGTCAAGGCAACTGGCCTTGCTGTATTTTTCTTGAAAACATTTCACTGGTCATCCAACCAGCTTTCTCAATTCAGAATGACTTGTACAAAAATGATCTGGGAATAAATATGGTGAATGTTGCTTCAATCCACATAATCTGTTAATTGCAGCCATCTGTTGATTGCCTTTGCATAATTGGAGCTAGGAGGTGTTATTAACCTGCCCAGAGAGAGGTGTTAAAAGAGCATTGTATGTAGCATGGCATATATTAGGCAGCAAGTGAACATTTTGTCCGTGAAGTTGATGTGTTGGAAGCAGAAAAAAGGGGCAAGCACAAGGATTTGAATGGCTTTGACAAGGGCCAAATTATGATGCTAGACAATCAGGTCAGAACAACTACAAAACTGTAGCCATTGTGGAATGGTTCTGATCTGCAGTGGACAGGACCTACCAAAAGTGGTACAGAGAAGGAAAACCAGCGATGGGTGGTCATGGGCGGCCACGGCTCATTGATGCACATGGGAAACAAAGGCTGGCCTGCACAGTCCAATTCAATAGAAGAGCTACTGTAGCTCAAATTGCTTAAATTATTGATTGTTCTGATAGAAAAGTGTCTGAACACACAGTGCATCACAGTTTGTTGCATATGGGGCTGCTTAGTCACAGACAAGTCAGAGTACCCATGTTGACCTGTGTCATCCACCAAAAGTGCCTACATTGGGCATGTGAGCATCAGAACTGGACCGCAGAGCAATCAAAGAAGGTGGCCTGGTCTGATGAATCACGTTTTCTTTCACATCATGTAGAAGGCCAGGTGAGTGTATGTCGTTTGGAGAGACACACACACCCGGTAATCACTTCAGGAAGAGATGGCACCAGTTGATCTATGGGAAGAAGGCATTGTTTATGTTGCAACATTGTTGCTGACCAAGTACACACCTCTTTCAGTAGGATAATGCGATCTGCCACACTGCAAAAATGGTTCAAAAATGGTTTGAGGAACACAACGTGTTTTAGATGTTGACTTGGCATCTAAATTCTTCAGGCCTTAATCCAATCAAGCATCTGTGGGATGGAAAAGCAAGTCAGATTCATGGAGGCCCCACCTCGCAAACTGCATGATGTAAAGAGAAACTTAGAAATGTTTAGTAATTGCAATCCACAAATAGATACTTTTAGATAATTGCCGGCTATTTATTTTTTGCATACCTTATTTTTCTTTTACTCCCCATTCTTCTCACAGTGGCCATTATTACAAAGGACAGATGAATCCATCTTCCTTTACTTCCTGGAACCCTGGCACATGGGACTAGGACATGTGACCATGCGCATCATCTTAGGGGGGAAATGCCTTTCACTGAGATCTCGTGAGATTTTGCAGTTTACAAAAGAGATTTCCCAGCAATACACTGCTGATGTAACTTTCCCAAGATGCATCTCTTAGGCATAGGCTACATCACTAATGTCTAAGAGGACCAGGAAGTGGAAAAACAGTAATTATAAGTAAAATCAAAATATGTTTGTTTAATTAATGAATGTAAGATGATTTATTATCAGCATGCAGAGCTGAATGCTTATGTCATTGTTAGTGAAAGGAGTTAAAGGTCCGCTTTAAAAACAAAGGTCCGCTTTAAAAAAAAGAACTCCAGGCAAATAAAATCTTAAGCCTTGCAGTGGGGCTACCGCAACACTGCAAGGCATAAGTGCTCTTTATGTCTGGGGAGTTAAAGTAACAGGATTATACTCACCCAAACCACAATCCCAGCTGGCTCCTAGACTGGTCCCTGGTGAGATCTACTGCTATACACATAATTATTATTTTAAGTATCATTATTTATTTGTCTGTTCCTGGATTTGTTAATAATAATCTTAATACAAGAATAAATGGTACATTATGGTTTCTATAGCTAAGAAAAACCCAAATTATCCATTTTATTTTCTTCAATAGTCATATACCTTTTTTCTAATAGTTTCTAATAATAACATAACCTTCAATCTTATAGATCAGTTTTAATATAATTTCATAAAGAAACTTGAGCAAAACTAGATTAATTTCAAAATGTGGCTTTAGGACATAAACATGCACATTTTTCTAAAGAAAAAAAAATGATTTATAGCATGGAACGCTGGCTTTGGGTAGACAAAGACATTTAATGGTATATTGGCTTCAACAAAGAAGTCAATAATGCTTAATTTAAAGGTTGGTTTCTCCAGTATTAAATTGCAGTGTGCAAAGTTCAAAACTTACAAAGCGAAAAACTAAGACTGAAACCTGAGCAAGCCTATTGCTGCTTTCATTCATGTGTACATGATGCAGTACTACTGTAGCCCCTAATTTATTTCTTGCCTAATTATAGGAGATTGCAAGCCTAAAATCTTTCTTTTATCTTACCTTCTCTGAGCATATAGCTGCCTGAAGGGTTTGATTATTTTTTGCAAACCCAGGTATATTTACATTAGCGATAAACTGTTTAAAATTAACTCCATTACAAAAACTAGAGGCCACCACCTAAAATTGGTGGAAAAAAAATTCCAGCACAAGGGGCGAAGGGGGTTCTTCACAGTAAGATCAGTTAGGGTCTGGAACTCACTGCCACAGGCGGTGATTTCAGCAAAGAATGTGGAATTGTTCAAGAAACTTTTGGACGATTTCTTAAGGGACCGTAATATACAGGGGTACGGGTACTCCTAGAATGAGATCCTAATAGGTTGGACTTGATGGACTAATGTCTTTATTCAACCTCAAATACTATGTAACTATGTAACTATGTAAATAAAAACAGCATGCAATAAATCCATCATTGTTTTACAATTGTTGTATGTGAACATGTGTTTTAATGATTCACAGTATCTATTCCATCCACCCTGAGCTCCAGACTGTGGGGAACATTTAGCATACATGTCCAATAGGTAGTTTAAAAGTTGAGGTGCATAGTGCAGGGATCAATAGGAGTCATATTTCATATGATGAAGACTAATCAGTCTGCTATGGGTGACAGCAATTGGCACTTTTTTATTTTCCCTAAAGTGGACCTGAGTTTAAAATGTAAATATTTTTAGATTTCTAGGGAACATTTAGAAATGTAATAGTATGTAAATGTTTATAGGCAGTGCTCTGACAATTTTACTTGTCTTGTCTTATTCCAGAAAAATAGAAGTGCACTTCCTATTATGTGATGGTGTCTGGACACTTCTTGGCATACAGCCTCATAGATGTATATCTGCATTGTGAGATCTAAGGCACTGCTGCCTTTTACTGCTAGTCTAAGGATATTTGGAGTCAGATTTGGTGACATCTCTACTGTGCCGCTTAATGTTCTTTTTCATAAGACAGGTAGCAACATCCTGTCTCTACCAAGATGGCTACCTCCACACAGATACACAGTGCAGAACACGGCATGATAAGTCAGTAATGGAGAAACATCAGGTGCAGGGAGACCAGAAGCAATACTGGTGACTAGTACTTTGCTCTGTGTCTGCCTTTTTTGTGCAAAGCTTTTAGGGCTTGTTCACACCGAATGCGGTGCGTTCCAGAGGGGTAGCTGCAGGAACGCACCATGATCCCTCACGAAACCTCCCCAGCATTCTGGAGTAGGAGGGGGTGTGGTGGTGCATTGAATTAAATGGCAACGCTTCCATGCCCCCCGCCAGCAGTGCAATCGGACGCGTGGCAAAACTTTGCCTGCGTTCCGTTCCACTGCAAACGCAAAAAATAGGGCTTGAGAGTAAGGGCAAACGGCAGCGAGTGAGCTGCCGGAGCTTCAGCTCAGCCGATCCAGATGTTTGATTGGCTGAGTCGAACTCCTTCTGCACTTCGGCTCAGAAGAGCATGTTCGGCTGACCTCAGGCAGCCAATGTACGACTGATTTTAGCTGATGTACAGCTGATTTTAGCCGATGTACAGCTGAAATCAGCCGCACAAGGCTGAAGTGAATAGCCGAACAACTTCACTTTGGCTCGGTTATTCACTCGGCTGCCTTCGGCAGCTAAGTGAATAACCCCCTTAATGTCTTGTCAGTTAAGCAATGGAGGGCCTGAGGGGTACACCATTCTTGGGTATTAGTTGCTCTTAGGCCAGCCCCGCAGAGGGGCTGGCCTAATTGTGCAAAACCACCACTGGATGCCTTTTCAGTAAAGTATACATTTTCCTAAATAATTTGTTATTCTAAAACATTTTTTAATGTGCATTTATAAAAAATACATTGTAACCCCCCCCAAAAATGAATGCTTATGTATATGTTTTTTTTTTAAATATACATACAGTATATACAGTATATACCCTGTTTCCCCGATAATAAGACCTAGTACTATTTTTGGGAATTGCTAAAATATAAGACCTACCCCAAAAATAAGACTTAGTTGTGAACTTTCCCAGGGCCAGTGGTGGCATGAGGGGGGAACTTGAAGAGCCGCGGGAGAGAATCAGCGATGCCAACGAAGCCAGCGCTAGAGGAAGTGAGGCGGCGGCAGAGTGAACAGAGCCACATAAGCCGATGCTTCCTCTATAGCACCGGCTCCTATCACAGGCGGAGTGAGACCAAATGCACTCCGCCTGTGAGTAATGATAGTGAAAGTGCGCTTCGCTCATTCTGGCCAGCGATTGGTTACCAAATTGCTCTTGGAAAGGTACGGCACCCCATGATTGCCCTGATCACCCTATTCTTAACTTTGCCATTTTGGATTATTTAATTTCGATTTGCATTCATTTTGGATTGTTGTACATTTTAAAAAATAAGACCTACCCCAAATATAAGACCTAGTGTGTTTATTTGAGGCAAAAAAATAAATATAAGACAGTGTCTTATTTTCGGGGGAAACACGGTATAATTCTTAAAAGTTGTCTTTCCGATTCAACTGATAAATGTAGTGTGCAAAATATTTCCTGCACTGAATTCACTGTTTCTTGAATGCCATCTGGAGCTGTCATGGAATAAAAGGTTTTTAAAAACACTAAGTACTTGTGTTTCTAAGTCTAAAAAAACTGTTCAACGTCACTGGAGAGCCGATGATTGCAGATAGATATGTTACTGACTGGGTGGGGTGCACCATTCTTAGACAGCTACACACAGCAGTGTCCTCCTCCCATGACAGTAACATTTCATCACCTCCCACCCACAGAAAAAACAAAGGTCTTTTTCCATGTGTGACAGAACAATTTTAAATGATGTTTCCGCAATCCAGCAGAGGAGTCTACATTTCAAGAGTAGTTTTTATAAAGAGAAAAAAAGTAGACTGAAAAAATGATCTGTGTTTCTAAATTCTTTATAAAAACTTCCATAATTAGGTGGGATTAACTCAATGCAAACTGTAGTATATGTGGCAAAATGTGCATCACTGGAGCATATAGTGCTGACATTAACTGTGCAGTGTTGCTATTCTGGGGTGTCTTTTTATTCATTGGTAAAATAGAAAATTGAAACTGTATCACAGCCAAGAAATGTGTCCAGATTGTCAGAAAAGGCAGTAAGGGACCATTTTGGATTGTGCACATTTCTGAGCCTGATGAAGGGAACCTTGCCCAGCCCAGAAAGCGCTTGTCGTTTGAATGACAACTATCAATAAAATGGATTTTGCACTAACATGGGATATTGGTGTTGGTGACATCTGTTTTGGAGTTCAGATATGTACTATTGCACATAAAAGATGCCCCCACAAAAGATGTCACAGGTTACTTGTGGCATTTTTTATGGGGGCACGTTTTATGGTCTATACTAGCTCCCCCTTTTCAATTGATATTTAATACAGTATAATATATATATGGTTACCTGTTAGTAGTGGAGACTTGGGTGGTGCCGGCTATTTGTTCCCAGATGACAGCGCATGGTGGAGACAGAGGATGATTTCGGAGGACCTCCCTGATGTCACTTCCTCCCACCTAGTCCCTGCCGCAGAAGAGAAAAACAGAGGGAGGGACTCGACAAGTGACAGTGGCGGCACCAGCAGGGAGCCACAAGTCCGGTGTGAATAATGTGCCCAGGTGTGATTCGGGCTCACACCCGAGCACAGGATTCCAAAACCCAGTGTTCTATCAAAGTTTGTGACTAGGTTGGAATGTGTGACTGGTCACGTGGTCACACATGTTAACATAATCCCACCCAGTTATATAGGCGATCCCTCGCGTTCCGGGCACGGGACATTGCGGTAGATGTGCGGGCTGGTGGAAACAAGCCCTTAAGTAGAACACCAGACATAACTTTTATTTGTTTTGTGTGTGAGTATTAAAATATATCACATAACATCTGTGTCCCCGACCTTCATTTCCTATTGTGTCACCTATAAAGAAATAGTGTCAGGTTTTGTTCCCCTGCCTGTATCCTGGATGTGTACTATTGCACATAAAAGATGCCCCCACAAAACATTTTTTGGGGGGGCACGTTTAATGTGCAATACTGATCCCCCTTTCCAATTGATATTGCATTTGATAAAAATGTAATAAATACCTGCTTTTCTTCAAAGGTGAGATGACAGGTCGTTGAGGAGATAAGAAGGGCGGTTTCAAACTCATCTGCCAGACGAAAGCGCTGCTCTCCACAACCCCTGCTGGCTGGCTGCCGGAGAAAGATTAGTCCCTCATGGCTCCCTCTCTCCTTGATGTCACTTCCTCCTACTACAGCCGCGGAGGAAAGAAACAGGGGAGGGAGGGAGAGTCGAGGGACAGGAAACAGCGCCACCCGGCGTCCGCCGCAAGAAATGCAAGTATGCGGCATTGTACAGTTTGAACTAGGTGCCCGGGTGGCACGTGGGCCCAGACCCGGGCACATGATTCCAAACCCGTACTGTACGGGTGAAACCCGTACGGGTGGCAACCCTAATGGCAGCTGCCTTTCCCTTAAGTCCTGTGTGCCTGCCATTACTCAGATGCCCCAGGAATTAAACTATATACTCTGGCCATAAATGTGACTACAAACCCGCAGAGTAAACGTAGCACAGGACAGTGGAAGGTGAGAGCTGAAGAAGAATCCAGGAAATGTTGCGAAAGGTCAGGGCTGACCGCAGACAAGGAGTATTCAGGCATCCAGTAATCGTAGCAAAATGTCAGGGCAGGTAGCAGACAAGCAAGAATCTGAACAACATAGCTGAGGTCAGTCCAGAATAAAAACAAACAGGAACCTGATCAGCCAGTAAGCACTATTACAGGCACTGAGGCACAGGCTGATGATGTTTAAATAGAGCGCCTCCATAGACAAAGACCAGCTTGGGGCATGAGGCAGATGCATTACTCCACAGTAGACATGTGCACTGGCAAAAAAATTGTTTTGTTTCATTTTGATTCGGATTTTGCGTTATTTTGTTTTTCGGGATTCTGGTCCGAAATTCAATTATGTTTCGGGATTCAGATTTGGACAAAAATTGTTAGTGGTAGTCTGGACAAAAGTTTGTTTCGTTTTCGTTTGTTCGTTGCAGCAAAGTGACATTGGGGAAAAAAAACTTTTTTTTTAGGTCTGGTAGGAATGTTAGTAGGGACCCCCCCCCCCCTAAGTTAAAACAAACAAAAAAGTGCGTGGGGTCCCCACCGAAATCTACACCAGGCCCTTAGGGTCTGGTAGGAATTTTAAGGGGGAACCCCAGCCCCAAAAAATGGGAAATAAAAACGTGGGGTCCTTCCTAACATTCCTAACAGACCCTTGATCTGAGCACTGGCCCGGCAGGGCAGGAAAGGGGGGGGGGCGATCGAGCGCCCCCTCTCCCTGAGCCTTACCAGGCCACGTTTTGGGCATTCAAACCATGCCGATGGGGACGATGGCCTCTTCCCCACAACCCTGACCCGGTGGTTGTGGGGGTCTGCGGGCAAGGGGTCTTATTTGCATCGGGTGCCCCTTTAATTAAGGGGGCAACCAGATGCCGCCCCCCTTGTGAATGAGTTAGGGGTACTTGTACCCCCACTCATTCACTAAAGGGTTAAATCAAATAGTTATTAAAAAGTCCAGACTTTTGATAAAATCCTTTAATTGAAAAAAAGAGTACATTTTTTACTATTCCTTTAATTTAAAAAAATGGCTCCATCTATGTAGTCCAGCGTCAATCAGACGCCCGACGCCCGCTGACCCAGCACAATAAAAAAAAGTTCCGCCGCACGACGACCCTCCAAACCTTTCCTGCCCTGTCGGGCTAGTGCTCGTATCAAGGGTCTGGTAGGAAAATTAGGGGGGGGGTCCACATTTCCCCCCCCATTTTTTGGGGCTAGGGTCCCCCCTTAAAATTCCTACTAGACCTAAAGGGCCTGGTATAGATTTTGGGGGACCCCACACACTTTTTTTGTTTTAACTTGGGGGGTCCCTCCTAACATTCCTACAAGACCTAAATGGTCTGGCATGAATTGAGGGAGAACCTCATGATTTTTGTTTTTCCTCTTCTGCAAACTAAAAAAATAAAAATATATATTTTTTTCTAATGTCGAAATTTCGTCCAGCAAATGACATTTCATGCAGACTACCGCTAACAAATTTCTGAATCAGAAATTCGGATTAATTTGCATTAGTTATTTCTCTAATTCGGATACATCCGAATCTCAGAATTTCCACAATTTTGTCCAAATTTCGATTTGGAACAAAACGAATCGCACACGTTTACTCCACAGGTGAGCTGAGAGACAAAACTGCAGCCAGCACACAAGCTGCAAAACACTGTGGCCAGATTCATTATCTCACAGCTGAAGCGGATCGCATTGCAGCCAGCTCACTATGTTGTGGGGTGGGAGGGGGCGTGGCGGTCCATTGAACCGAATGGCACCATAGCCATGCCCTCCATATGATCGGCAGCATGGGAACGCAAGGCACAGCAATGCCTGCTTTCCAGTCCAGTCAGAAAAAAATAGTGCATGTAGCATTTTTTCTGACCAGACCGGACCGCAGGCATTGATGTGCCATGCGTTCCCGTGCAGCCGATCGCATTGCGGCAGGGGGCGTGGCTATGGTACCATTCACTTCAATGGACCTCTACGCCCCCTCTGGCCCCACAATATAGTGAGCCGGCCCCAATGCTATCCAGTGCGTGAGCTGGCTGGAACACACTGGGGGTGATTTACTAACCTAAACACACGCACGCACTAGGTGCGTGTGATTTTTACACAGCAAAACGTATTTATCAACCAAAAAGTCTCTAAAAGCATATTTCCACTAATGCCATATATGGAAAAATCATGCACATGATGCATATATAATGCTGCTTCACAGTTTAGACAAAAATGGTTAGCTCATGCATTTACATTCCTGCATTCATCAATGCAAGCAACACAATGTAGAGCTAATTTACACAACATCACCTTGCAATTCATGCAGGGCTTTGCACAACACACCTGCTGGGTGTGTACACACTACAAAGGTGTCTAGATTCCATCAATAGATCATGCTGGGAGGGAACACACTACAGAGATGTATACTTGTTTGTGGCGTGTTTATAAGGTTAGTAAATCAACCCCACTGTGTCTGGTGTAAATGGGTCTGAAGGCTAGAGCTGCAGCTAGCAACGCAGACTGATAATCTTACATGGACTGTCTGACAGAAATTATAACTCTATCACACTGTATCCAAAACTTGCAGCCTCCATTGTTTATTGATATCCTGTGTCATAAGTCATCTGCTGGCATTTTCAGCACTTATTGAATCCGAATGTCTTGTCAGTTATGCACTGGAGGGCCCGAGGGGGAACCATTGTTGGGCTGTGCTTAGAGTATCAGTTGCCCTTAGGCCGGCCCTGCAGAGGACCCTACTTGTGCAAAACCACCACTGGATGCTTTTGTTATTCTAAAACATTTTTATTGTGCAGTAAAAAAAAATACATCGCAACCCCCAAAAGAAAAGGAAGTAAAAAAAGGAAAAAAAGGAAGTGATGGCGCATTTTACCATTGGGAACATAGATAAAAGTAAAATTAATAGAAGGATTTTTATTGATGTCTGTACTTACCTGTCCCAATGATGACCAATTTCCCATTTCTTGTATGGGTTTCACAAGCACAGGAAGTGGCAATTGGCTTTCTAACAGAAATGGTAACTCTTTCCCACTTTCCATAACTAGAAAACAAAT